GGTGAGGGAGGGAGGTGAAAGTAGTATTAGTTCAATTGTATGCACTTGGCTGTTGTATTACCCATCATGTTCAGGGACAGAGAAGCCCCCTCCGCAACAGAGTGCAAAAAGGTTATATATTTCATCATCACTGTGGGGGGGGGGGAATGGGCTAACTTTGAAGCTGATGTGAACTTGACTTAAAATCTCTGCTTTTGAAGAATGTCTAGAATTGTCGATGCTGAAGTTCTTGGAGGGATAGGAATAGCTTAGCAAAACAAGGATGGGCTTGGTACTTCCTAAAATCCCTTCCACGGACAGTTTATTAAGCGAGGCATTTGCGCCAATTTCTGATCTGACTTCTTGATATCACAAAGAAAATCCTATTCACTTCCCAAAAGAAGTCTGGGTCATATGGGAGAGAAACAAAAGAGGAGAAAATGTAAGTTCACCCTACACTCCTGTAACAGATAAATCTGCGATATGTTGTTGTTGTTGTTGTTGTTGTTGTATGGTTGAAATACACTAGAGTAGACGTATCTCCCATCGCAGGAAGAAGTCTGAGGCCAAACACTGTCCCATGTAAAGTAGTCTTGACACCAACCATGAGTGCTTCTGGGACAAATGTCAACCTCAGTCTCAGAAAGGAGCTAGCTCAGCAAAACCTGAAGTAACCCCTTCCAGTAGGCCAAAGCCATTCTGGGCTGGTAGACTATTAGCATCTTGTGTGCAAGACTGCTGATTCATGCTGTTGTGGTATTTATGCCCAAGACAGGAAGAATCATCTGAACAAAAATGTATATGAGTCAGATTTCTGGGTAACTGGAGCTGGGCTGGGTTTAAGATGTAGACTGCAGAACTGGACATAAAACGGGGTGAGTGGTGGGCATTCCTTCTTACTTACCGTTTGACCCCAAGGAAGTTACTTGGTGTCTGTAAGCTTCAGTTTCAGAACTGCAAGTGCATAATTCACAGGTTGTTGAAGAATTGCGTGAACATATATGTGTTCATGACTAATGAATCATCAGAGGTTCTCTTTATATCCTATTCTTTCCTCTTGTTCATATTAAAACATTCTATGTTAAAATATCAGCTAGACACAAGTCCAGGAACTTTAGCAGAGGGACGGCTCAATAAACCGTTGATTCAGAGTACAAAAACACGGAGACAATCTTCTATTTCAAACTAGAGACCTGTGCCATGTACAGTACATTTGAGCACTAGCTCAGAAAACGTTTGCTGGCTCAGTATCCATCCCAATGAATATTTGAAAGCAAGCAGAGGAAAAAAGCTGATACATCTGGCTTATTATAAAACTTCAGAAACAAATGAATATTTGGAAAGTGGTGCAGATGACCCACTCAGAGTTCTTCCCAATGCCCACACTATACTTTTATATTACCATACATAAGCCGTAAGCCAGTCTGCAAAGATGGTCATTTGCACTGTAGATAAAAAACACAGACAAACATGAGAAAAAATAAAATAATGGTCGGCTAAAAAAAATACATGAAATTATCCTTGAAATATCAGGACAATGAGATAGGTTTTGATTTGGAATCTTTTGCATTCTAGGTTGGAGTTTTCTGAGAAAAACACAGCATAATCATTTGCTATTTGATAGTGTTAAGAACAGTTTTCTATCCAGACTTTCCAGCTGACAGAACTGAAGGGAGGAAAAATCAACCCGACAGTAATATCTCTGCTAGCTATAGACAGTGAAACACACACGGTACATATTATCTATATGGCAAAATGATAATTTTATTTAGTTGTATGTGTAGAATCACATGAAGTGAGATAGTTAAATAGGTAGTTAAACTTTTGAACCATGGACCATATATATGAACATGGAACCTGTCCATAGAGCCAAAAGTATCTAATGTAAAGAAATGAGCAAAAGCATTAACAGCCCATCATATTGGGGAAATATAAAGGTGAAAACACCATGATTTACATTAAAGGAATAATTGAAAAATTATGCTTTATTTATACAGATGTTATTGAAAAGGGTATGGTAGATTTTAATCACTATACAAGAGGGCTAGCCACAATGTGTCACCAGAACACTGCAGGTAGACTTCTGTGCCATGTCTTATTTGTTACAAGGATGGACTTGGAGGAGAATTATATGTTTTCCAACTGGAGACACGTGTTATCTCTATCCAAGAAGAAGAAAGAAAGCAGCCGACTGAGAACAATTCCGGAGAAGAAGAAAGGAGAAGAAGAGGAATTAGTATTTAACTCTTTTATGTTTTCTTGATTTTCCCCCCATTATCTGGGAAACAATCCTATGAATCGTCATTAGGGTAAAGTCAAAGCACACAAGACAGTGTTTCAGTTGCTTTTCAGGTAACGGAGCTAGAGAGGAAGAGTCCACCTCAGAAGCTGCAGCTCTGCTGTATTAAAAGAGCCACTGAATCCAATCGATGGCTATGACAGAGTAGAGCGAAGGGAACTGCTCAGCCCTGCAGGCAGAGGTTAGGATGCACATAGAGGGAGTACAAACCCCCTTCCAATGACTGTTACACCCATGGTCCTCCTCTGGTCTATTCAAGGGTAATTTCAATAATATTCATTCTGTTAATATTTAAACCTGGACCCTAAAAAGCTAAAAAGAGGGATTTGGCGCAAGTCCCAGTGCTATAAAGGACAGTGGGGATTTAATTTCCTAATGTAGCAAGCGTGCACATGTCTCCAAGGACATCTTCCCAACCCCTTGGAAGGGAAACGTGGAACTAGATGCTGAGCCAGCTGCTCAGGGACAAGGAACATTACAGCATCCCGGATAACTTGCCAGCTGGAGCAGTTGATGCTGGAATCCTATAGAATCCGGAGGGTGGATCTGTGACACACCCTTGTGAAACTCATAAGGAATGTCCGGGAGCCTTTTCTTCATCCCCTCCCCCTCCCCAGTGTTACCTGGATCTTCATTTGTGTTTCTGCAAGATGGAAATCAGCATCACTTAGTTTGATTTTTTTTCTCCATTTTTATCTTCAGTTGTCTGGGCAACAATCCAATGGATCTGAGAATTATCATTTAGGTAAAAATCAAGCACAAGACAATATTTCAGTTGCTTTCCCAGCCAATAGTGATAAAAAAAAAACTCCTCAGGGGATAGAAAAATTACCCAAGATTGTGACAAGTTTGAAGCCTTTTTGCTTGGAAGGAGACAGTATCTGGGAATTTAAAAAAAAAAGATTAAGTTGAATTTACTGTCAAAAGTACAGGATTTTAAACACAGATCTTTCTTCATCCAAACATCAATAACATGAAGGATTTTTTTTGAGCTTTTGAGTTAGTAGCTAGTCACCCTTCTCATCGCTCCTTACTGTTTCCTTTATGTGTGGTAAGGCAAAAACTATTTTTTATGTTTGTTTTGATATTTAGACAGGCCAATGTCATCCTGGTGACCTCTAACCTATGTTGTTTTTTCTTCCCCTGAGTGTTGTGATAATTGGCATATGCCACCAAACCAAGCTTCACAATTATCTGTGTGGCAACTAACAGCAATATTGAGCAAATATTGAGCCTGAAATTTGTTGTTGTTGTTGTTGTTTTATTGAGGGAATTACGCGATTTTACAATCCATGTTCATATTTTTTGATCTAGAAAAAATAAATGAAAATTGAAGTCATCAAGAAGGAAAGTAAGAAAATCACATGAGGGTTTTTTCTGAAGAAGTTTCATTCTTACTAACAATATGAAAAGAGCACACTTGACATTTTATATATTTCTGCACAACTACAATTGAATTCATACTCAGTGGTCACTGGCTAATTCTGTAAATCATGATAATCAAATATACCTAATTAGCAATAACTGCATGCCTAAAGCTTTTAAATAAAAGGTAGTATTTTGATTAAGGACCCAAATGTGTAGAATGAGAATCATTACGACTCTTTAGCATTTGCCAAGTTTCAGGGTATGCCAGATTCC